GGTCTATGGATGATTAGATGTCCTGTCAAGGGTTGTTGATTGTTTGCATGCATGTGTGTATGTACTTGTCCGGGTGGGGACGGGGAAACTGAACTTGGGGACCGTCTGCCTAGGGGTACGAGTGTGTTAATCCCGTTGTTCCCCTCCCTTTCGCGGCCCTTCGCGTGAGGGCGCGCGTTCTCAGTGTAAGCTCCCTCTCTCTCTCTCCCGCCTTCCTTTTTGAGCTTCTCGTCCCCGTACCGGTGACGTCAACCACCTGCGTCCTCGCGCGCGGTCGACGCCCCCGCAAGGAGAAGAGAGCTTCGATTTCGCCATCTTCCTCCGACGCACTAGCCTTGAGAGAGAAGGTTGCATCGGGTGTTGTATGGAGTCCATGTTGGTTCGGATGACCGGGAGCCTGGGATCTTGCCCGTGTTCATCGCCTACCTCCGATCGTCTCATCTCGCTACCGACCTTCCCCATCACAGATGACGACAGCGTTTACTGTGATGCGGACGTACGGCGCGCGCTGAGGCGAACGGAGCAAGTGTGCTGGCGAGACCCGCCTCGGGCTTGTGATATAAAGGGGAACGGGTTTGTCTTGATTGAGCGTTTTGATTCCCCGACTCTAATATTGCCTTATACGGGTTTGACTGTGCTACCCTGGTCGGCCGCTCACGCCGCATGGCGGCGACAGTTTGATTGTCGCTGGTGTCGCCAAGGGGACTCGTGTTCTTGGCGACGACTGGTCCTGGGTTACGAGGGAGCGACACGTTTCCCCGAGCTTTCCCGTAGTGCGGGGGCGCTGCCCGTGCAATTTCAAATTCGGACGCCGGCGAGCCCTCCTGCCGCTTTATCCTCCCGGAACCTTCCGCGCTGACTCTGGGAGTCCGAAGCTGAGGCTTAAAGGCCTCGAACCAATCACCTCTACAGCAAAGACCCGACGGTTCGGTCACTTCGTGAGGCCGATGACGAGGCCTGAAGGCTTCGAACCCACCACCTATCCCCCAAACCCCTGACGACCGAAGTTTTGTCTCCCGCCGCCATGGCCCTCTCCCCTTGAGGCCTTTTCCCGTCCTGATGCACGACGGCAGTTCGTTTTCGCGGAAACCCTTCTGATTTTATCGTTTCGGAGCGATCCGATCCCCACGGGACTTCGCGACGACAGTTCGACTCCGGGGTAACCTCTGGCACGAAACGAGAGCCTCCCGTTCTGTCCGGGAGACTCAACCCCTATGGCCAAAAATCCTCGGCCACGCCCCTCCTAGAACTCTGATCGGCGACCCAGGACGGGAAGCCACGAGGGGGCGTGAGGTTGCGTATCACAAGCTACGTCAAGCAACCCACGCATAGTCAAGACCCAGCATACAACAACCAGGACTACCCCTTGGGTGGTGCGCAGGCAGTGTCTGTAATAGTACCATGCGTCAGCCCAAGGGGATGTATGTCCAGCCGTGCGTCACTCTAACGCCCTGCTGGTGTCCATGCACAAGGCTGCGGAGTTTTGAACCCGTAACGTCTCTCTACCCATGTGCCCGCTCCTCTCTGTGAAACGTGGAGTCCTTTTGTGCCCGCTCCTCTCCGTGAAACGTGGATTCCTTTTGCCCAAGGGACCTCGCGAGGTCCCTTGGGCAAAAGGAAGAAATGGCTGGGGAATACTCGAAGCCCAAGGAATTTCCTTCGGTGTAATTTCCCTTTTTTTTTTCCGACTGCATCCCCGAGGATGGATGGAACGAACAATTCGTTGGCGACTTTACGCGTCCGAGGAGTGTCTAACGAGCCCCATAACCCCGCAGTCATCATGGCATTCGAAAACAAAAGAACAAGGGGGAAAAAAAAAGCAAGATATGCCTGACAAGCTTTTTCTGCTGTTATGAACTGCGGGCCTGTTATGCCTGCCAGGTTTTCTTTTGCTTTTTTGAAATCTGCTCCTGGCCATTCTTTCCCTCTTTC